GAATTGCCTGAACCCAGGAGGCGGAGGTTGCGGTGAGCCGAGATCGCTCCACTGCACTCCAGCCTGGGCAACCAGAGAAAAACTCATCTTAAAAAAAATAAAGTGTTTCAGAAGATGAGAAGGAAGTGAAACTCTCGCCTCCCGCTGGAGGGAAAGTGAAATGGTTGAGCCACTTTAGAAAACAGTCTGGCGGTTCTTCATATGGTTAAGCATCCAGTTACTGTATGACCCAGCAACTGAACTGCTACATATACACCCAGAAGAAACAAAAATGCACACTTGGAGAAAAACGTGTATACGAATGTTCACAGCAACATTATTTATTTTAGTCCCGAAAGTGGAAACAACCCAAATAAGCATCAACAGATGAGTGGAGAAACTCAATGTGGCCTGTCCCCTGCCGTGGGCTGTCCCTTAGCCATGGAAAGGAATGAAGTTCACCCTTTAAAAGTGTACAGTTCAGGCTGGGCACAGTTGCTCACACCTGTAATCCCAGCACTTTGGGAGGCCAAGGCAGGCGGATCACCTGAGGATAGGAGTTCAAGACCAGCCTGGCCAACACGGTGAAACCCCGGCTCTGCTAAAAATGCAAAAATTAGCTGGGCGTGGTGGTGGGCGCCTGTAATCCCAGCTACTTGGGAGGCTGAGGCAGTAGAATAGCTTGAACCCGGGAGGCGAGATCACGCTACAGCACTCCAGTCTGGGCGACACAAGCGAAACTCCATCTCAAAAGAAAAAAAGTATACAGTTCACGGCTAGGCCTCTTGCCTGTATTCCCAGCACTTTGGGAGGCTGAGGCGGGTGGATTGCTTGTGGCCGAGGGTTCAAGACCAGTCTGGCCAAAACGGTGAAACTCTGTCTATACTAAGAATACAAAATTAGTCAGGTGTGGTTGCACCTCGCCTGTAATCCCAGCTATTGAGGAGGGTGGCAAGGGAGTGAGACTCTGTCTCAAAAAAAAAAAAAAAAAGAAAGAAATGAAGCACTGTCACCTACCTGCTATAGCATGGAGGAAGTTTGTAAACATTTTTCTCAGACAAAAAGAATTCAGACAGGCCGGTCGCAGTGGCTCACGCCTGTAATCCTGGCACTTTGGGAGGCCGAGGTGGGTGGATCACCTGAGGTCAGGAGTTCAAGACCAGCCTGGCCATCATGGTGAAACCCCATCTTTAAAAAAGGGAAAAAAAAGGCCGGGCGCGGTGGCTCACGCCTATAATCCCAGCACTTTGGGAGGCCGAGGCGGGTGGATCACGAGGTCAAGAGATCGAGACCATCCTGGTCAACATGGTGAAACCCCGTCTCTACTAAAAATACAAAACATTAGCTGGGCATGGTGGCACGTGCCTGTAATCCCAGCTACTCAGGAGGCTGAGGCAGGAGAATTGCCTGAACCCAGGAGGCGGAGGTTGCGGTGAGCCGAGATCACGCCATTGCACTCCAGCCTGGGTAACAAGAGCGAAAGTCCGTCTAAAAAAAAAAAAAAAAAAAAAAAAAAAAAATTCAGACACAAAAAGTCACGTTATAGGATTCCACTTATATCATTTATATGAAACGTCCGAAATAGGCATAGGCAAATCTATAGAGATAGAAAGTAGATTAATGGTAGCCGGGGGTTGTGGGGAAGGGAGAAATGGGGAGGGATTGCTAAAAGGTATGGGTTTCTTGGGGGGATATGATGAAAAGTTTGTGAAATTAGATTGTGATGATGGTTGCGTAACCCTGGGCAAACACTAAAAACCACTGTACTGCACAATTTATTTTTTTAGACAGGGTCTTGTTGTATGGCCCAGGCTGGAGTGTAGTGGCACCATCTCTGTTCACAGCAACTTCCACCTCTTTGGTTCAAGTGATTCTCCCACCTCTGCCTCCTGAGTAGCTGAGACTACAGGCGCATGCCACCACACCCAGCTAATTTTGGTAATTTTAGTAGAGACAGGGTTTCACCATGTTGACCAGGCTGGTCTCGAATTCCTGACCTCAGGTGATCCGCCCACCTCGGCCTCCCATAGTGCTGGGATTACAGGTGTGAGCCACCGCGCCCAATGTTATTAACATCAACATTATTCCCCATCACAGATGAACTCAGAAATAACAAACCTTTATGTGTCACTTCGGAGTTTACAAGTTTGAATTTCTGCTTCTGGCCATGAGCAAGTATACAACTGAAGTTTACAATAGGGTTCAACAACCTTTTCTGCAAAGGGCCAGGTAGTAAATGTTTTGGACTTTGTGAATCATAGGCTTTCTGCTACAATGACTCAACTCATGGTTCAAAAGCAGCCATAGACAAGAGTGACTCATGGGCCTGACTGTGTGCCCACAAAACTACATACAGGACTGGATGAGGTGGCTCACGCCTGTAATCCCAGCACTTTTGAAGTCCAAGGCTGGCAGACCACCTGAAGTCGAGTGTTCAAGACCAGCCTGCCCAACATGGAGAAACCCCATCTCTACTAAAAATACAAAATTAGCCAGGTGTGGTGGCACACAACTGTAATCCCAGCTAGTGGGGAGGCTGAGGCAGGAGAATCACTTGAACCCAACAGGTGGAAGTTGCAGTTAATTGATATCACACCATTCTGCTCCAGCCTGAGCAACAAAAGCAAAACTCCTTCACACACACACACATACACACACACGAAGAAGAAGAAGGAGGAGGAGGAGGTGGAAGGAGGAGGAGGAGGAGGAAAGGGGGAGGAGGGGGGGGAGGAGAGGGAGGCAGAGAAGATGATGATGATACAGGCTGTGCATAGTAGCTCACTCCTGTAATCCCAGCACTTTGGAAGGCAGAGGCAGGAAGATCACTTGAGCCGAGGAGTTAGACACCAGCCTGGGCAACACAGAGAGAACTCATCTCTATGAAAAATTAAAAAACAGTAGCCAGAAAAAAAAAAAAACGCAAAACAGTAGCCAGGCTTGGTGGTGTACACCTGTGGTTCGAAGTCCTTGGGGGACTGAGGCGGGGGTTATCACCTGAGCCCAGGAACTGGAGGCTGCAGTCAGCTATGATTATGCCTGCCTAAATTTTTACTTTTTGCAGAGATGGGGTCTTACCATGTTCCACAGGCTGGTCTCACACTCCTGGGGCTCAAGTGATCCTCTCACCTCAGCCTCCTAAAGTGCTGGGATTACAGGCATGAGCTACCTCACCCAACCAGAGGCACCAATTAGACTTGATGTCTTTTTTTTTTTTTTTTTTTTTTTGAGATGGAGTTTCACTCTTCCTGCCCAGGCTGCAGTGCAATGGCATGATCTCGGTTCACCGCAACCTCCGCCTCCCAGGTTAAAGCAATTCTCCTGCCTTAGCCTCCTGGCTAGCTGCGATTACAGGCGTGCGCCACCAGGCCCAGCTAATTTTGTATTTTTAGTAAAAACAAGATTTCTCCGTGTTGGTCAGGCAGGTCTCGAACTCCTGACATCAGGTGATCTGGCCACCTTGGCCTCCCAAAGTGCTGGGATTACAAGCGTGAACCACCAGACCGGGCGCGGTGGCTCACGCCTGTAATCCCAGCACTTTGGGAGGCCGAGGCGGGTGGATCACGAGGTCAAGAGATCGAGACCATCCTGGTCAACATGGTGAAACCCCGTCTCTACTAAAAATACAAAACATTAGCTGGGCATGGTAGCACGTGCCTGTAATCCCAGCTACTCAGGAGGCTGAGGCAGGAGAATTGCCTGAACCCAGGAGGCGGAGGTTGCGGTGAGCCGAGATTGCGCCATTGCACTCCAGCCTGGGTAACATGAGTGAAACTCCGTCTCAAAAAAAAAAAAAAAAAAAAAAAAAACAAGCGTGAACCACCGCGCCCCAGCCTCCGACTTTATGTTTTTGAACTTGGAAATTCTGTGCACGTTCTACCATGTCCCCTCCCTGAAAATGACAGGGCTCTTCTCTCCTGCCTGGGTGCCCTGATTTTTCTTCTCATCTCCCCAGCAAAGTCGATATCCTCCTATCTCCGTCTCCTCCCCTCTCCCAGGACCGAATCCCCTTTGCTGTGGTAGGAGCTGACCGAGAGCACCTGGTGGACGGGAGGTGTGTCCTGGGCCGGAAGACCAAGTGGGGCATCATCGAAGGTCAGTGCGGGGCCCCTGGGTAGGATTCAGGTGAGGACAAGTTGGACGCCAGAGCAGCCCTGTGCCTTTGGCATCCTTAGTCTCCATCACAGGGCCCTGAAAGGTTAAGCCCACGGAACAAACAGGCCTGGGGAACGGTCCTTCTCTCCAGCTGGGGGGACACGGGCAAGTTTCTGGACTCTCCAGGCCTCAGTTTCCTCCCAGTAGAGTGGGCATCACAGTGGCATCAACTTCCTAGGGTGCTAGAGTGGGGAGTGGCACCATTTGGCACAACGCCCAGTACCCAAGGGTGCCCTAGAGGTTGCCAGAACTTACAATGGGCCTACTGTGTATCGGGCACCGCTATGTGCAGTTCCTGCGGTCCATGGTAAAGGCAGGACTGATGAAGTCCCTGTCCCCATAGAGCTGACAAGACAAGGACAGGTGGGGGGAGGGAGAGGAGACCGCCTCAGGGAGCTGGAGAAAGTGAGACAGGAGGGCCAAGACATAGTCCCTGATGCATTATTATAATTATTAGAAGTATACTATGCTTTTTTTTTTTTTTTTGAGACAGAGTCTTTCTCTGTCGTCCAGGCTGGAGTGCAGTGGAGTGATCTTGGCTCACTGCAACCTCTGTCTCTAGGTTTAAGCCATTCTCCTGCCCCAGCCTCCCAATTAGCTGGGACTACAGATGTGCACCACCACACCCGGCTAATTTTTGTATTTTTAGTAGAGACGGGGTTTCATCATGTTGGCCAGGCTGGTCTCAAACGCCTGACCTCAGGTGATTCACCCACCTTGGCCTCCCAAAGTGCTGGAATTACAGGCATGAGCCACTGCACCTGGCCAGAAATATACTATACTATTATTTATGATATAGCACATAGTCATTCCACTCTATTTGCAGGGGGTGGTTCCAGGACCCCCAGAGATACCAAAATCTGTAGATGCTCAAGGCCCACAGTGGGCACCCATGGATACAGAGGCCGACTGTATATATAATACAGTAATGATTTGTGGATTCATTCATTCAACGACTACTTGCAGGAGCCCCCTGTACCAGGCTCTGGGACACAACAGTGAATGAATGAATGAACCAACAAAGAGAAGGCGGGATAGAAGAGAAATTCGGGGAAAGGGCTAAGGGAAATAGTGTCAGGTTGTGCGTACAGTTGGTGCTTACTCAGTGCACACTAAGCAGAGCCCATACTGAGTCCTGTGTCTTGCAGTGGAGAACATGGCGCACTGTGAGTTTCCTCTCCTGAGAGACCTGCTCATCCGGTGAGGGTGTGGGGAGCCCGGGGCTGGGGGGCTGGCAAGGGGCCCTAGGGACACCACAGTTGGGGCTGACTGCCTCCGGTCTCCCAGCTCCCACCTCCAAGACCTGAAGGACATAACCCACAACGTGCACTACGAGAATTACCGCGTCATCAGACTCAATGAAAGCCACCTGCTGCCCCGAGGGCCAGGCTGGGTGAACCTGGCCCCAGCCTCCCCAGGACAGCTGACCTCCCCCCGGCCCTTCAAGGTCTGCAGGGGGGCCCACGACGATTCTGAGGATGAGTTCTGAGCACCGGCTAATCCTGGGCCCGCAGGGCTTCCTGAGTCCCCAGCGGCCCTCAACACACATCCGTGTATCCGAGCATTTATTAAATGTGGACCTTGCTTTTTGTGAAAAGCTGGGCTTTGAAAACAAAAGGCATTTTGTAAATGACTTCTTTGAGCTACCCACAAATAAAAGGCCGGGTCTCACTCTGTTACCCAGGCTGGAGCAGACTGCCGCGATCATAACTCGCTGCAGCCTCGAATTCCTGGACTCAAGCGATCCTCCTCCCTTAGCCTCTGGGGTAGCCAAGACTACAGGCATGACACCACCTTGATTGGCTGATTTTTAAAATTTTTTGTAGGGATAAGTCTTTGCTAGGTTGCCCAGGCTGATCTTTAACCAACCTCAAGCGATCCTTCCACCTCAGCCTCCCAAAAAACTAGGATTACCACTGCTCCCAACCGTGTATGTTTTTGCTGTTATTTTCGTTGTTGTTTCTGAGATGGAGTCCTTTTTTTTGAGATGCAGTCTCGCTATGTCACCAGGCTGGAGTGCAGTGGTGCGATCTTGGCTCACTGCAGCCTCCACTTTCCAGGTTCAAGCAATTCTCCTGCCTCAGCCTCCAGAGTAGCTGGGACTACAGGCATGGGCCACCATGCCCAGCTAATTTTTGTATTTTTAGTAGAGATGGGGTTTTACCATGTTGGCCAGCATGGGCTCTATCTCTTGACCTCATGATCTGTCCACCTCAGCCTCCAAAGTGCTGGGATTACAGACGTGAGCCACCACACCCAATCTCTGAGACAGATTTTCATTCTGTCACATCAGCTGAAGTGCAAGGACGCAATCTGGGCTCACTGCAACCTCTGTCTAGCAGGTTTAAGCAAATCTCCTGCCTCAGCCTCCCTAGTAGCTGGGATTACAGGTGCCTGCCACCACGCCCAGCTAATATGTGTTTTTAGTGAAGACAGGGTTTCACCATGTTGGCCAGGCTAGTCTTGAACTCCTGACCTCAAGTGATCTATCTGCCCCAGCCTCCCAAAGTGCTGGGATTACAGGTGTGAGCCACAGCACCCAGCCTTCTTTTTGAAGTAATAATGTGAGACTCGCCGGGCAAGGTGGCTCAGCCCTATAATCCCAGCACTTTGGGAGGCCAAGGTGAGGTCAGGAGCTCAAGACCAGCCTGACCAACATGGTGAAACCCTGTCTGTACTAAAAATACAAAAAAAAATTTAGAAGGGCATGGTGGTGTGCGCCTGTAATCCCAACTACTCAGGAGGCTGAGGCAGGAGAATCACTTGAACCTGGGAGGTGGAGGTTGCAGTGAGCTGAGATGGTGCCACTGCACTCCAGCCTGGGCAACAGAGCAAGACTCCGTCTCTAAATAAATAAATAAATAAAATAATAATAATGTGAGACCCAAGGCCCTAGGAGTCTTGAAGGCCTGGGAAGGCACGCCTTGGACAACCAGCCTCCTGTGCCTGAGAGCCAGACCCAAGTTACAAATCCAGCTCTCTCGTCTGTCCCAGCCCATTACTCCTGGCCCAGGGCTAGGCCCACAGGCCACCAAGAACACTTTCAAAATCCCCAGCTTTGTGGCCTGATCGCTGGCTGTCTTACCTGATCTCCGTGTTCCACCGTCCCCCACCTTCCTCATTTCCCTGCCCCAGGGAAATTTATCTGCCCCAGGGACCAGCATGGCCAGATAACAGCTCCCACTGTGGAGCCTGGCAATGCCGATGTGAAAATCGCGGCAGGCAAGCCAGTTACTTATGCTTCCCGTGCTTCACTTTCCTCATCTATAAAATGGGGATCATGGTACCAAGCACATGGCACAGTTGTTCAGACAAAATGGAATACTCCCTAGGATGTGCCGACCTCAACCTGGAGAAATGGCACGAAGACAGAAGCGGCCTGAACAAGACGGAGCAGCAGTCCAGGACAGAGGACCTGCTGCAGAATGGGTGAGCTCCATGGCCCAGGGACTCTCCAGAAGGCAGTGAGTAGGTTGCCTGAGGAAGTCAAGGAGGGCTTTCTCTGGGTGTCAGTTTCATCCCTGCATCAAGCCCATGGCAGGTGGACACAGCTGCCGACTGAATAGACCCCGCATTGCCTGCTCCATAGCAATCCGCTGGTTGAATTCACAAACCTACTTTTCCATCCACACCCCAGGCTGACTCCAGGACTGGGGAGGTTCCAGAGCCTGTGGGCATGCAAACCACCCTCGACCAACATCTGAGTTGGCTGAGATACTGGCCCACGTCACAGCACATTCGCAGGTTTAAGATTAGCCCTGGGCAATATGGCAACATCTACGCATTTCAAAAGCACACACCCAGACCCACACGGTGGCTCACGCCTGTAATCCCAGCACCTTGGGAAGCCAAGGTGGACGGATTGAAAGGTCAGGAGTTCAAGACCAGCCTGGCCAACATGGTGAAACCCTGTCCCTGCTAAAGAAATACAAAAATTAGGCCGGATGTGGTGGCTCAACGCCTGTAATCCCAGCACTTTAGGAGGCCAAGGTGGGTGGATCTCAAAGTCAGGAATTCGAGACCAGCCTGGCCAATATGGTGAAATCCGTCTCTATTAAAGATACAAAAATTAGCTGGGCATGGTGGTGCACACCTGCTAGTGGGGAGGCTGAGGCAGGAGAATCTCTTGAACTGGGGAGGCAGAGGTTGCAGTGAGCCGAGATCGCGCCATTGCACTCCAGCTTGGGCAACAGAGCTAGACTGCATCTCAAAAAAAAAAAAAAAAAAAAAACCGAAAATTAGCCGGACATGATGTTGTGCACCTGTAATCCCAGCTACTCAGGAGGCTGAGGCAAGTGAATTGCTTGAACCCAGAAGGCGGAGGTTGCAGTCAGCCGAGATCCTGCCACTGCACTCCAGCCTCTGAGACAGAGCAAGACTTTGTCTTGTCTAGAAGACAAAAACAAAACAAAACAAAACAAAAAATCACACACCTTTTGGGTCAGCTGCATTTCTAGGAATGCTTCTCACGGATAGACCCGGTTTCTCAACCTCTGCACCACCGCACTTGTGCTGGATCATTCTTTTTCTTCTTCTTCTTCTTCAATTTTTTTTCTTTTAGACAGTTTTGCTTTACCCATAGGTTGGAATGCAGTGGCTCAATCATAGTTCAATGCAGCCTCAATTTCCCAGAGGCGGAGGTTCCAGTGAGCCAAGATCGTGCTGCTGCACTCCAGCCTGGGCAACAGAGCTAGACTGTGTCTCAAACACACATACACACACACACACACACACCCCAAACTCTAGCCTGGACAACAGAGCTAGACTGTGTCTCAAACACAAACACACACACACACACACACACACACCCCGAACTGTAGCTTGGGGAACAGAGCTAGGCTGTGTCTCAAACACACACACATACGCGCGCACACACACACCCCGGAACTGTAGCCTGGGCAACAGACCTAGGCTGTGTCTCAAACACACACACACACACACACACACACACACACACACACAGACACCCCGAACTCTAGCCTGGGCAACAGAGCTAGGCTGTGTCTCAAACACACACACACACACACACACACACACACACACCCCAAACTCTAGCCTGGGCAACAGAGCTAGACTCTGCCTCAAACACACACGCACACACACACCCCAAAGTCTACTGACTCCTAGGATAAAATCCTTAATCTTCACCAGAGTCTCCAAGTATGATCCGGCCCTGCCCATCCCTCCAGCCACATCTCCCAATCTCTGGTTTCGGAGAATCTCAAAGGAGATTCTGTCTCTCAAACGCAGCATGTTCTCTCTGGCCCCAGGACCTTTGCACCTGGCACTCCATCAGTCTGGAATCCTCTCCCCCAATTCCCCAGGTTAACCCAAGGCTGCTCAACCGTCATTTCCACCCTGAAGGTATCAGATCCCCTCTTTTACATCCCTTCGTAACATTTGCCTAAGATGTGATTAAACAATTCTTCGTGCAATTATTTTGTCCACTGTATGCCTCTCTTGGTAGAATGCAAGCTCCATGAAAGCAGCACCTGCCGGCGCTCGGTCACCAGAGCGCCTAGTTAAGAAGGCAGATGAGAGGACTCAACAAGCATTTAATATGCCTGGATGAATGGTTTTAAATGAGTTACAACATTGAGAGTTAACCTCCCCCATTAACAGATGTGGAAACTGAGGCTCAGAGCGCGCAAGGGAGTGGCCCGCCGTGTCGACGACAAGGACACTGCCGCGGGGAGACTACAGCTGCTTCCTCCGGGGCTCTGGAATTGCCGGCAGCTGGGGAGAGCCTCCAGGCCGCCAATCCACCGCTGTGGGGCTCGCAGGAAAAGGCCTCCGGGGAGGGCGCGGGGCGCTCTGGGAAATGTAGTCCCGCCAGCTCCCTGAATCCAGCGTCCCCAACTTTCGCTTCCGGAGGGCTCAGTTCTCGCGCGTTGCTTTGGGAAAGACGCGCTATATTCCAGGAGATCTCTTTATGTCTCCCCACAGTTCGGGAGGCCAAGGCAGGCGGATTCCTTGAGCTCAGGAGTTCAAGACTAGGATGACCAACTTGGCGAAACCCCTTCTCTACAAAATATGCAAAAATTAGCCAGGTGGGCCAGGCGCAGTGGCTCACACCTGTAACCCCAACACTTTGGAAGGCCGAGGCAGGCGGATCACCAGGTCAGGAGTTTGAGATAAGCCTGGCCAACATGGTGAAACCCTGTCTCTACGAAAAATACAAAAAATTGCCAGGCGTGATGGTGCGTGCCAGTTTTCCCAGCTACTTGGGAGGCTGAGGCAGGAGAATCACTTGAACCTGGGAGGTGGAGGTTTGCAATGAGCCAAGGTCTTGCCATTGCACTCCAGTCTGGGCAATAGAGTGAGACTCTGTCTCAAAAAAAAATTTATAAAAAAAAAAAAAAAAGCCGGGTGTAGTGGTGTAGGCCTGTAGTTCCAGCTATTCAGGAAGCTAAGGTGGGAGGATCGCTTGAGCCCAGCAGGTCGAGGCTGCAGTGAACTGTGACTGTACCACTGCACTCTAGCCTAGGCGACAGAGCAAAACACTGTCTCAGAAGAAAATAAATTTAAAAAGCCACTTCATTCCAACAGTGATATTCACTCGGGATCGTCTGTGTGGCGTCTGTTAATTTAATCCAGTGTTGCTCATGCTGTGCAGTGCGCGAGGCCATCCCTTTCCCGTCTTTTTTTGTTTTTTTGATACAGAATCTTGCTCTGTTGCCGAGGCTGGAGTGCAGTGGCGTGACCTCGGC